TATTTTTTATAATGCGCTCTTTCCTCCCTAAAGGTTGCTAGTATTGCATTCTTGGTGGTTTCGTTAATGTTGGTGCGAAGGCGACGTCGTAAAGCCCTGCACTTTTGCCGTTGCTGTGTCGCAGTTCCTTTGTCCACCAGGAAATTCCTTGCAAACATTTTGCTGCTCTGGTGGGCAGGTGCTGATCGCAAATGCTCCGTAGAGTGTCAAGCAGCCGCTCGGTATAAGTGTTCAGATCATTGGGGCTCTTGTATTGACTTAGCTCCTGCTCTTCTTGCTGTAATGTTAGAGAGAAAGCTTTGTTAAGTATTCGCAATTTGTTACCCGGAAGTTTGTATCTTTTAAAGATGCTGATCCTTGTGTCGCTTGCAATATTGAAGTGTATGTAGCGATGGTCCGAGCAGCTCTCTTCATCTGCTACCATCCAGTCTTGTAGGTTATTGGCTATATCATTAGTAGTCACTGTAATATCTGGCCATCCGTGGTGGTACGTGTTGTCAAATGTGGGTGGCGCGTTGGGGGTGTTTATGATTTGCAGATTGCTGGCCAATATGTAGTCTTCCAAGACTTGCCCTTTTGGAGTGGTAGCTGGGTAACCCCATATGATGTTGTGGGCATTAAAATCACCGCCTATAACATGTGATGTTGTGGGGCACTTTGTCTTTACTTCTTCGATGCTCATGATGGTCTGGTGGATATCATCCGGTGGGGGACTGTAGATGGAGGAAATGATGATCTGTGAATTTGAGAAGCTGAGGAGGATTGCTACATGGTCTCGCTTCTGTGTAATTATCAGCGGGGACCAGAGCGGGTTGCAGCAGGCGATTGCTGCTCTTGGTGGTGGCTCATTCTGTTGTGCTTTGCGCTGAAATATTTTCCAACAGAGTGGCAAACAGGCGACTTCCCCTGCTCTGCAGTAAGGTTCTTGAATCAATAGTATATCTGGTTGATGGTTGATTGTATGTTGGATCAATTGTGACGCGGCGGCTTTTGCTCTTTGTAAATTAATCTGGATGCATTTGATAACTTCTCGTTGGATGTCTGGTGTTTGCATTATTTGAGTGGGCGGCTGTGGCAAATCACTCGTATCTGGTACTGCGTCTGATATTAGCGATGTATCTTCCGTACGAGGGGCAGTTGACATCATAGGCTGGATGATCGCAGGGGATGCTTCCTGTTTGTCCTATAGTTATAGTCTGCGCAGTTGATACACGCGGGCTGCTGCGCTCGGCATTCACGGATGTCGTGTTCTTCTGTGCAGTATGCACAATAATGTTTGTTGGAGCACTCCTTTTGAGTGTGGCCGAGTTCCTGGCATCTGTAGCATCGCTTGGTGTTATAGAAGTCTGCAATTCGGTATGCCCGCCAGCCGAGGTAGAGTCTGGGAGCCTGCATGATTCGCTGGTAGACTGTAGGTTGGCAGTCAAGAACCCATTTAACTGTGTTTCTTCTATCTCGGAGGCGGTAGAGGATCTTGACTGTTGATTTGGTAGCATTGTGCTCCGATGCCAAAGCTCGTTCTATTTCGTGTTCCTGGACTTCATGTGGGACGCTGTGGATAGCAACTCTTGGAAGTCTTGTGGCGGGAAGCTTGGTCTCTACCAGTTCTTGTCCCTTTGCACTGTTTAGCGTATTTTTTAGCTTGTCAAGGTCCTCCTTCGTGTGACAGTCAACGGCTAGCCCTCCTTTTTGTATGTTTCTGACTGTGGATACCTTTACTCCTATCTTGGGGAGTGGGAATTCCTGGCTGAGTTTAGCCTTAAGGTCTTGACTGGTGGAGCAGGTGGCTTCCTTAGGATATAGTAATAGTGTGTGTGCCGGGGCGTAGTTATGTGACTAGTATCTTTAGCCTTAGCTGCAGGCAGCCGCGTAGGATGGACCTCTGATCGGATTAGGCAGTGGTGCTACAGCGAACACGTTATGCCTCTGCTGGTCTGTTTGATACTGGTTATTTGCATGTGCTAATTCGCAGCAGAAAGAGAGTGGAGGTATTGGTACTTGTGTCGGCTTTTGTTGGTTTTGCTGTGTATTCGGGCCCTTCTAGGGCTAACTTCTGTAGAGCCTCTAGTGAGGTAAGAATACGTTCTCTGAGTTCTGTTCGGAGCAGAAATTTACCACCTCGGTAGGTAGTTGTTACTCTCTTGATTTTCTGGTAGAAGAGGTTTACCTTTTCAGCATGAGCTATGTCTGAGTTTAAGATAGAGGTCGGGTCTAAGGCGCTAGACGACGTTGTTATATCTTCGTCAGTAGATAGAGTAGATTTTAGTACCATGATATAATGTAGACAATGACAGTTAATATGCAGAATTACAATAAAAAGCGTACAGTTACATAATCTAAGGCAATACAGTTAAATATAAGTGCGTGCAATGAAAGCGCTGCCAACAGTTAGCGTGCACGGGTACAAGGTGACAAGTAAATGAGAAGTGAATGGAATTTACAGAAAACTCATTAATTTCCGTCACAAATGCTAAATGTACGGAACTGAATGCTGTGAAGAAACCAGCCACAGAGCCTATTTCCCATACAATGCATACAATACACAGAATAATGCATACAATACACAGAATAATGCATACAATACAGATAATACATACACAGAATAATTGCATATACAGAAATAAAATCTAAACGAACTTAACAAGGTATGGAAACAGAGTACAATAGATGGCTATCAGTAAATAAGCACAAACAAAAATTTACAGGAAGATGAAATTAAATAAGTATAAAAATTATAATAATGATGATAAAGTAATAAAAAGAAGTAAATATAATAGAATAAAAGTTAAATGCACAGTGAAAAACTAGAACAGGGTTAAAAATTTGGGTGTACTAGAGGCTGGCTAAGTACCGTGCAGCTAAGTTCAAATTGTAAACAAAAGCACGTGCAAGACTTATAGCAACTGCACTCTACTATGCGCGCATGCGCTAGAAAGCTTGACAAGGAGTTGTCCGACAAGTTCAAAAGGCGACCTGTCCTGCTGGACCGACCCTCCGCGCTGTGTCGTAAAAATGAGCCGGGTGAGGATACCGGGGAAAGAACAATGTCACACAGGAAAATTGCAATTAAATCTTACGGCATTCAGTCACTAATTAAGCTAGCAGGACGAATGATACACTAAAAGAAAGGTAATCTAAAAGCCTACCTTATCGTCTAGGAATGGTGTCGATATTCCCAATTAGACCGGAGATAAGGGCAGATTAATCCAGAAGTATGGCACTTTTATGTCGCACAATAAAAACACTGTAATAAATCGCACAAACACTTCACAATCACAGCACTGGTATCAATGAAGAGATCATAATCTTCCACTTTCCAAAGGTACTAGGATTGAAATTGGATGCCTGTAGGTGCCAGAGAAATCTTAATAGATGTAAACACCACAAAACGGCACTTCACGGGGTCACGGTAACCCTCAGCAGATATCACGAGGTCGCGATACGAACAATGACTTCTGCTTTAAAGACTTAATTAATCCACCACTAATAAACGGAATCGCTCCAGATGCATATCAAATTGCTCAGCTTTTGAAGAACTTTAAATTGATATAACTTTTGTGTAAACTATATCAAAACTAACTTAAAATAATAAGGCGAAAAGCGAGCTCGCGAAAACACGTCGTACAGCATTGATGCCGCGTCCGGTAGCTTTGCATATACACACATACACTTCTGAATCCGGCCCTGAGAACAAAAGAGTACCAAATAATAAAATTAATATATATATATATATATATATATATACCTCATAGGGCGCCCTTCGGCGGATAAATTTATATTGCCTTTCAAATTTCCTTCTGAGTAATGAAATTGCAATAAGCTCATTTTTTGGTTTAGATTTTTGATGTACTCTTCATTAAAATCATCATCAGTTATAAAACAAACTGTTTCTCAGGTGTACGTATTTCTTTTCATTTCATTCCAGATAATTTTAATTTAAAATTAATGAATTTGATTGGGCTCTTTGTGCTAAAGCAAAGCACAATAGGGCTGTCTGCCTAAGGGAAGAGACGCCTTCGTGGAGAATTTCTACAAAAAAATTGGTTCGTTTTACGTTACATATTGTACAGACATTAGGTATTTTTGGAAGCAGGGCTCATGAAAAATGAGAAACGCCTTCGCCGGGAATCGAACCACGAACTTCTGGAATACACGTCCAGTGTGCTGACCACTACAGTACGAAGGCATGCTAAGAAGGCATGAGGAATACCTTATAATATGAGGAAATTCATGTCAACAACCCTCAGTCAGTCCGTTCACACGGATTTGAAACAAAGGTGAATTAGATTTCAGATGGATTTGTACACACTTTTACCTTTATCTAAGCTGCATAATTCAGTCGACATGTAGCTTAAAGATTACGGGAAAATTTTTCTAGGATGAGATTTAAAAATGTTTAATATTCGTTATGAGCCCACCAGCAGCCGAGCAGTAAAATCTCTAAAATTATTAGTTCGAACTTGACTCAAATTTCGGTAAAAGGGCTGGGTGCATGGGAATTTTTCCAATGGCAGTAACCGTACAAGATAATTCTATTCCCAATGCTCGAGTTAAATGAAGTGACTTGACTTAGAGAAGTACGAAAACACGAAGACATATTACATTTAGTTCTCCGATGGAGTAGTTGATTTAGAGCAAATTGTGAGTCAGAGACATAACATGCTCAACATTTTCTGGTCGGGAAGAGGAAACTTTATAGTAGATTTACCTGGGACTTTCCCATGTATATTGTGAATATGAGCCCGTTTTCTTAAAGCGTTCACCACGAAGGCATTCCTCATACACACATAGTACTCGTATTATTTATCTTAATCAATTTTATTAACCTATGTATGCTATAAAGTCTTTTAAGAATTTACCGTTAAATTAAATAAGCGCTTAAAATATCTACCTTTATCAAGGTAATATGATTTATAAAACCATGATGATGGAGTATTCACATTCACTATAAACATTTTTAAAGCACGAAACTTATTGTAAGAGGAAGCATTAAAATAGTATTCACCTCATTGTTGTTGACGTACCAATGGAGTTGGGCGGGTTCAGAAGATCTCGCAGATGTGCAATTTACATCTACTATGTCTCCAATGTAATACTTCTGTTGGTTCCCAGTAATATTTGGCCCTTCATGTCCTGGTGGAGCATGTGGCACTAAACAAAAGTAGTAATTAAATTTTTAACGAAAATTTTAAAGCATAAATTTTATACGGAATTCAAACTTCATCACTTCACCTAAACTGAAAAGTATTCGATATATACTTTATGCCATATTCAGTATTAAACTGCGTACCAAAATGAAATACTGGCTCTAAAAAAGACGCATTTATAAATAATCATGCAATTTAGTATAAAAATTTGAGCTAAAATAAAAGAGCAAGTACTACTTTTTTTTTAATGAAAGTAAATTAGCAGCAAGTAAATTCACAATCTAATCAATAAGTTACAAAAGACAGACAGGATTCTTTTCTTCGGCAATTTGTAGAACTGCTTAAAAAGATCTACTTGAAGTGCCAGAAGAAAAACAGGAAAGAATCACGAAGTAAGCAATCTAAAAATCGGAAGAATCAAAATAATAACTTTATTGCGGAGTTTTTTTTGGGGGGAGGGGGAATATAGAAAGCTTCAAGGTGATTTAATGCGCCAACTGAAGAAGCCTTCTAAACAACTTGCGAAACTGGAAACCTAAAATAATGATGGGCAGACTAACAATGCTAAGCAATCATTAATTTTTCTGACAAAACTTTTATGTACCTAAATGAGAAATTTTAGAGTTAATTAATTTTAAGCGGTTTCGGTCTGATCTTTTCTTTTGGTAAGTATTCAGGCATATTAATTCGCGATTTATTTTGGCATTTTTCCGTAATAGATATTTTGTGAATTAATTACTTCCTATCCTACTGTTGAGCCTGCAGTGGTAATAAATATCGTGAGACGTATTGGTGTCCTTTGGAGAGGTATCTTCAAAACAGAAGGTTAGCTACATTAACCAGTGTCACAAAATATGCTTCTGTTAATAATCACCGAAACAAGCATTACAATTCACTGTACCCCAACGGATTCCCTATACATTAAATTATTGTAATAATGGGCCTTATTTCTCACAGTGATATGTGTTACCTATTGTTAAGATTAACGGATCAGCTGACTAATGCTTAAGCCGTCGAGAAGAATTTTTTGCCTTTATTTCATTACATTTCACATTAGGATTTCTCCAATCCCAAAGTAATGCTTAAAACATTACTAGATAGGTAGCATGTGAGAACTATACATGATGACCTACGTTATGCATCCGATGACCTAAGTATTAATACCTGACCCCTTGTCACTTATCAAAGCGATTCAGCTGCTTATCTGTTTAATTGCGTCCTAATGTGGTTCTAATTGACTTTCCTTTAGTCATTTGATATTTTTAAACTGTATTTAAATTCAGACTTCTTAACTGAGAACTTATTGCAGGCGTTCTACTTCATAAAAATGCTACTTTTAGTTTTAACATTATTTCGCTATAAATTATATAAAATTAATATGAACCTGATCAAATCTATTTCTTCAACAATCCTAAGAATGCAATTTATGTCTTAAGTTTAAAATATTGTTGCGTGCGTACGGGTTCGTAATAAATTTAATGTGTACAGAGCCGATGATAGCTTTATAAAATTAATTTTACCAAAAGAAACACTTCACAGTTCTGGAACTTTTCACAGAAATACTCGTACATCTCTTCACAGAGTAAAATCAGTAGTTACATTTCAAACTACCAAGAAAGTTAAACGCAGCGCAATACAGAGAGCATCTAAAGAGCGAAGCTAACACGGAGATGTCCCAATACTGAGAAATTATGCTGAATTAAACAACTCATAACCGGTCTTATATAGTTTTTCCCTGGCAGCCGAGAAATCTCTAGTACTTTCCACTTCTCGAAATTACTGAAAGGCATATGAGGGCTAGATACGTGGTTACAATTACATATACTAATTAATTACATTTATTCAATCACAATACCAATACACGGACAAAACCAAAGTTTCGCCAAACGGTCACCAAGTTTGACAATTAAAAATTAGTCGCCAGCTTAGCGATATCTCACCAATTTTAGAGTGATAGCCATTTATTTATTCAATGGTTAATGTACTTGCCCATGTATTCTTATTTTCCCGGCAAGCTTCGGCTCCTCAAATTATCATATTATATTATACAAATGATACTACATTTTTACATATAATTTCACTACAGTTAACTACATATATACGAAATTTGTAACAACATTATGAGATATATCCCAGGTGAAGATACTATGCCCATTGATCATTATTGAATGTATACTACTTTAGACATCATACTTCATCTTCATGCAGTTAATACCTATAGAAAAGCAAAACCTTGTAGCAGAGTGGAGCAAAATCTCCCATTTTTTGTCTGAAAGTTATTCTTGATACAGTTAAAAAATGTTACGATAAAGTAAAAGAAAATAATAATAAATACAAACGTAATGCTTACCATGAAGAAACTCGGGTCCAGATACCCCCTCACTAACTATTAATTCTCGGCTACTATTTGAGTAGACTAAAGTGACAGATGCAGTGCACTGAACGCTAAGAACCCCTTGCCGAAGGTGACTAGGATCTATTACAAACATTAGGCGGGACTCAGTGGTTTTGAGCTCACCTGCATTGCTTTCCTCTTTTTCCTCGCATATGTATGATACCGGGACCTGAAAAGTGAAAAAATGTGTCAAGAAACAGAGTAATAAATCTTTACATACCATTAACGTCATTCCGCCGTCAGAGGTTAATTTAACATAGTTTTCCGTGTGATAGGAAGATAAAAATCTGCTTTCGTAACTCAAAAAAAAAAAAAAAAAAAAAAAAAAAAAAAAAAAAAGTTTTGCTCCAACTCTTCATAGATTCTCTTTACTATACACTTTTATTTTAAACGCAGATACATTCGAAGCCACTACGAAATGGCGTTTTAACTTCGAGTAGATTTCTTATGTTATCGTCATAGTTTTGATAGAATAAAAGGTATTTGCCCCTTAAAGAATCTTAACGAACCTTTTTTTTATTTGCTCTGCTTTATGAAAAGTTAACGTTGCAAATGAATGGTTTCTAACTCTTTCCTTTAAATTGATACAGCAAATGCAATAAATATCCTTTGTTTGTCCACTAAAATGGACATGTAATAAATGTCCTTTGTTTGTTCACTAAAATGTAATAAATATCCTTCGTTTGGCACTTATATGCCTTGTAGATGTCTATAAGCAATGGGCCTTTGATTCATAGTTTCAATGTTTATTTTCCAGTTGAGATGGGTGATTTTTTTTCAAATACTACTTGAGTCAATGACATCACTTTGTCTACAGAAGTGAAAGAAGCTGAGACACAAATGGAGTGGGGAGTAGTTGCTTTTGAGTGAACTATGAGTCAGTGACGACACGGAAGAGCAAATTTTGCAGTACAGTAACCTTAGACGTCACTCATACCAAAGAAAAGTACGACAGTAAAGGTGCAGCTAAAAAAAAATCTCAGCTGAAGTATATTTTGCTAGTAACAAAAGCACTCCTTTAACGCTACTCAGTAGCCAAAATGAAAAAAGAAAAAAAAATTATTATTTAGAATTAGTAAACAATACTTTTTATCAGCTATTGTAATTCTCTAATTAATGAGAATTTCCTCAGAATTTGTTTCATAGTTTTAAAAGGAGTAGCGAACAGATTTGCAAACTTTAGATCTTCACCAAACCTTACTGTTACAATTTTTTACTTCATGATGCACGAATTCGCACAAGGATCACATTATCTGAAGATTATGCGAACTTTAATGATTAGTATTTAATAGTGAAATAATAAAATAAAATTAATCACATCGCAACACAAGAATTCTTTATGAATCTTTCCAGTTCTTGTTGCAGAGGTTTTATAAGCATCGCTGCTGTTCAAGCTAAGTCGGTAACCAACACCGTATAATATCTACTAATATTATCCGTAAAGTCGGTAACCAGCAACGTATAATATCTACTAATTAATCAAGAGATTAGCAAAATTTAGCCTTGAAAGATTAACATGAAAGTGATGCGACAGAAAATGCTTGTCAGTTAGAGATTTAACCCAGTATCTTAGTGTGGCATCACGCTTAGGCGTGTTCTTTAATTGTATTGTTTAAATTCAATTCTTAAATAAGAAACGTGAAAATGACAATGTTTATTGTGATTGTTCATCTGTCTCTAAATAATTAATTAATTTCTTTTTTAAAGAGCTTTATAAGATAAATTATGCATAAATATTGTAATTTCTATACTTACACTAAACTGGGAAAAGAAATATTCACATAGCTTTAACAGCCAATAGATGAATATTTACTGTATTTAAAACTGGACTTACCAGTTCATTCATTCCCTCACAGTTCAAGCTTACTGACATCAGTTTCGGAGATTTATTGATTCAAAGTACATATTTGCGCGGATGCATAGTACATTGGCATTCATTGTTATTTATCTCATATTTGTTTCTTTTGTAAATAAAATAAACTTTGCTTACTTATTAAAATAACTATTTTAATTTCCTTGCTATTTGAAACAAAGTTTTTCTTAGTATTGTTAAATATGTTTATTAAAAAGTCCATCTTGGTGCATATTACAAAGCTAAGTACCCACTATTCAAGATAAATAGTTAAATCATTAAATAAACATAAAGTATATTAAATTATAACAGAAGGAAAGGGCGATGTTAAAGATTTTTCAGTATTATTGTAGAGCTTTAAACAAAGAAGCATAAAAAAGTTAATCTAAAATTGATAATATTGATTTGTATCCTAAAATTAGAAGTATCTCTTTTTTACTTCCTAATGGTATTAGTGGACGATCTGCTCATTTTAGTCGCTATGTTGAAAAGAAAAAGTTTGTAAAGCTTAAATTTAATGAGTTAAAAACTATTTTGAGGAAAACATATCCTTTTATATATAGAAATTTAAGAACACGCAATCTTCTAGTCAATTTTCTATCAATATCTGTTAGTTCTTTTTAACAGAAAAATACCACATTAAATTTAACATTAGATATTTTATTACTATTTTAACAACATTTAAACTCGGCCTTGAATATGTTCTTTTAAAATCCTTACACTAACAGAATTTCAATCTGAGAAAAAAGTCAGAAAAAGTATTGTAATGACTATTAGAATTTTTTAAAATTTTTTTGTGGTTGCAAACATGAAAAATTATCTACGCTCCACCGGAATTCGAAACACTTATCTTTCAGTTTATCAGCTGGATATGCTAACCACTTATACCACGAGATCACGCATAGAAGAAGGTAAAAATTCCTTACAAAGTAACGAGGCTTCTGGAACAAAGAGTGTTGAGGAACTGACCGCCTTTTTCTGGGAATCTGTACCAATTGTTCAGATAGTATAAACATTTGAAGAATTCCTCCATTAAATGCAACTTGCGTTGTAGTGGCTTGCATTTTTACCTGACAACTGGAAAATACGTGTTTCGCTTCCCAGCAAAAGTCGACTTATTTTGTTACTCTTTCTCCTCCGAGATATATCTAAATGTCTCCACATTCTAAAGGTATTACTAAATTTTATTATCTGGTTCACAGCACAAATAATGAGAGAGTGCAGCTTCATTTTATAAGGTATTTCTCACGCCTTCCTAACGTGCCTTCGTGGTGTAGTGGTTCTGCATGCTGAGCCGGTATTCCAGAAGTTCGTGGTTCGATTCCCCGAGAAGGCGATTACTCATTATTCATCTTGCCTGATTCCAAGATAACTTTATGTCTCTACCTGAATTAACTTGAATAACTATGTTTATACCTATCTTAGTGTTTTCGTCAAGTTTGAACCAATGAATTTAAAAGAAAAGTGTATCAGGGCAGAAAGGAAAAGAGAGCTAGTTTTCTATAGCGATTTGTTCATGCTTTAAGAAATAAACGAAATTCATCATTTTTGTAAAAGCATAGACATCAGAGAAATTCACATTAAATTGTAGTAATTTGCGCAAAAAGTGTATTTAGTTCAAAATTGCAATAAGAACCTTGTATTTAGCGCACATACATTAAAACACTCAATCGATTTCGAGGGCAGCTAAAGGTCCGTCCTCATAAGGAGAAAGAAATTACTAGAACTAGAACATCAGATGAACGAAATTACTAGAACTAGAGCATCAGAAGAACGAAATTACTAGAACTAGAACTAGAACATCAGAAGAACGAAATTACTAGAACTAGAATTACTAGAACGAAATTTACACAGTTGATTTAGACTGAAATATGTTATGATTTCTGTGTGACTTCATAGGCAACTATAATGAATTTTATGCTTTTTATAATATAACTATAGTCCCCGTTTACTAATTGTCCACTGTCTCAATAATGAGAATGTGTAATGTATAATGTACCTTTAAACGGATTCATCTATTATAGCCATTTTAAACATAAAGCCTAGAAACAAAGATAGAGAGCTGAAAAAGCAAGATAACTGTCTATTATCATATTGACTGATAACTGTCTGTTATCATATTGACCTAAGTGTCTAAAAATAAATTTGATAAGTAGCTGCTAATTAACAATTTTTTTTTTTTTTATTTTTATCTAAATTTACTTACTTAAAAGGCACTGGCTCTTTTAGACATTAGACTAAAATCATGCGACTGAAACTCAGAAACTAGTAAGGTTGGTCTACATTTAGAAGCAAAAATTTAAAGAAAATCAGTTGTTGAAAATGTGCACTAACATTATGTATCGAGGTAAATTAGATAATTAACAGGGTTATTATTCAGGAAAAGATTATTTACATTATTTTAAAAAGTACTTCATCAAATATTAAAATAATATAGATTAATATTTACCTTTTCTCCATTAATGTACCAAGTCAGATCAGCGGCTGGTTTAGATGGTCCATAAACACACGTTAAATTAACTTCAGATCCGATAGCATATCTGTCAACCATACCGTATATAGTTGGGCCTTCTTCTGGTATAACTGGAGAGAAAAAATTGCATTTGATATCATTATCAGATTTCACAGTTTTCTCTAGCGTTCATTTTTTACATTTGGAAACAAGCTCAAAAAGACAATATACACTTAAAGTGTCTTTACATATGTATGTAAAATGCAGGGTGATTATAATTAAAGTTGCGATTTCAAAACGCTCTAACTTGAAAACTACAGGTCAGAATGACTTGATATTTTACCAGAACAATCCTGAGATAATAGAATTTTGTTTGATGAAGGGAAAAATAATTCCAAAATTTTTCGATAGATGGTGCTGTTAGTGTCCATTGCTGTCGTGGATGTATAGCTGAAAGGAAACAATAAACACTAGACAATTTTATTAGCGAAAAGACAAGAATACGTATTTACAGAGAAAACAGCGATAGTGAGAAGAGAAGCTTCATGAAACAAACACCTTACGGATGTTTAACGCATAAGTTGTTCAATATACTCTCTGCCTTGTTCCGTTGCTAACTGGAAGCGCAAAACTGCATGTTCCACAACATATCAGAGGGTACCTGTGCTGATGCTATGAATATGATCCGTGATGCTTGCCTTCAGATCGGCCAGATTCGCAATCCGCCCACTGTAAACAACATTCTTCAGATATCTGCGAAGCCAAAAGTCACACGGGTTCAAGTCCGGAGAGCTAGGCGGCCACGGTGTTGGAAAATGGTGGCTTATGATTCTATCATCGTCGAAATGAGTGATCATCAGCTGCTTCACGCGAGTAGCAATGTGCGGAGGAGTGCCCTTTCGAATGAATATTGTGCGATCCACACATTGACGTTGTTGAAGTGCCGGAAGGACATGGTTACGTAAACGTGCTTCATACTGCTTGCCAGTAACGGCGCAGGTAACGGGACCCGCAGGTGTAATCTCCTCTAAGAAGAACGGACCGACGACAAACGCTAACGATATTCCGCACCATACAGCGACTTTTTCAGAGTGAAGAGGTAATGGCTGCAGCGGGAAAGGATTCTCGGTCGCCCATATCCTGCAATTTTGGGTATTCAGAGAATCTTGAAAATGGAAATGAGCTTCGTCAGGTCACAGAATGTTCCAAGGTTATTCATTATCCACTTCCATCCGGGCAAGAAATTGTAGTGCAAACGATTCACGTGTTTCCAGGTCAGCAGGTAGCAACTGCTCCACGTGAGTTATCTTATACGGATAGCAGCGCAAGAATATTCCATAGGTCTGTACGCATCGTGCTGATAGGCATATCCAACATTTGGTCAGTTCCCCGTGTACTGCTGATTTCTGCATCACTGTTGTCTGTTCTTGTAACTCAGTGACCACATTTTCCACTGCAGCCGCCGAAACTGGTTTTAGTCCTCTACCTCGTTTTACGTCAAATGCACTCTTTGAATTTGTCTATCATTCTCCGCAGGCCATATGTGATCACTGAGACGGATTTAATGCCTTTTAATGTCCGGAACTTTCTGATAGCTGTTAACGCATAGTCACAATTCTGATAGAAAATCTTCACGAGAAGAGCACGATCCTTCTTCATCAGAGTGATGATGAAGCACTCATGCGAAATGTTATGTCTGTCGTTAGTGCTCTGTATTTTTCTCTTAGCCATGTCAGCAGTGCGCACGTTACGTCTTAGTAATTCGCATACCAACAGCAATGTGAAACCTAACAGCGCCAGCTATCGGTATAGTTTGGAAACTATTTTTTTCCTTCTCGAAGCAAAATTCTATTGCCTCACGATTGCTCTAGTAAAATATCAAATCATTCTGACAAGTAGTTTTAAAATTACAGCGTTTTGAAATCGCAACTTTAATTATAGTCACCCTGTATAAAAAATACGATGGCTTTGCTCTACGCGAACAGGCAACCTCTAATTAACTTTCCACAATTTCCGAATCTTCCCCCCTAGTCCAGTACTTTCGAGAACATTCTGGAATGTTACGTAATTGCTGCTATAAATGTAGAGTTTGCGCCATTTTTGATCAGATTGCTTTTCTTCGCCAGCCGCTGTAATACCCTTTGCTGCCGCTCTTCCAGTCTGTCTTTCTTTGTTTGAATACTATGACGCAATAAATTAAAATTTAATGGTATTTAGTCTAAAGTACTATCACATGTGCAATCCTGGAGAATCTAAACGAATAATGATCTGCCATTTTAAGGGAATAAAGATATGGAGTTTTAAAAAAAAGAAATTTTTCGGTGTCATCATTTCTGCTGTAAGCCACTCACCCATGTCCGGATTTTGATGCCAAGCTTCATTATTTCCAATGCCGATCTACTGCAAATATCATGTGTATATTCATATATTCATTTGTGATCTATTATCATAAGAATTGCAGGTGGTAAGTTACACTGTGGAGCCCAGAGTATTCTGAAGTTATTATAAGGAAGTTTTAGTCTTATGTACATGTTGATTAAAATACTTGCTCAAAATCACTAGTTGGCGTTTCTTTAATTGCGCACCAAATTCTATAAAAGTGCATTAAATTAGTTTATTATTATACTCATCATCATCATCTATCAACATAAAGTAGAAATAAAACTTTGAACATGATAGAAAGGGAGGAATGCAAAAACACCCACATCGAAACTGGAGTCTTCTAAACCTCCGCCTCAGCTAAAACCTCTCGAGATTACCTACATCTTGACAGATTTTTAACAGCTCCAATGCATCAAACACACTACAAATTTGCAAATATACGTGCTTCTCCAGTGTTCGAACGCGGTCGTAAAATATAGCAGGTCACTCTGTTGATCACCATATTGATCAGGGGAGACAGAGCTATTTTAACTATTTTTTTTCTCTTCCTAAGTCGAATCAAGCTCAACTAAGTATGTGTCGGAATTTTAGTAAAACAAATATTTTAAATAATTGCAATCACTTACATCTAAGAAATTTGTAACATATTAGAACAATAAACTTTTCAAATAATATGCGGAGAAGTGAGATATCTGTACATACAATAATAGTGTACCTTCATATCCTCCTACAAACAAGTAACAGATTTTCTGTCGTAATCCAAAAAACTACTACTTTAAAGCATGCTAACAAGTACAGCTTTAAATAATAGTAAAATAATTGGAACATATAAATGCGACTTTATGATGTGCATTAATCTATAAATCGACCGAAAATGGGGTTTGAACACGGGCATTTCCTAATCAAGAGAAGAGGCCTGCGAATTATCGATTACAAAGTGTACTTCTTGAGATATATTACATGTCATTGGCTGCGATGTATGAGCTAAATGAACTTTCGAGAGGATACTTCTAGATTTATAACGTTCACTGCACAGTTAACTAAAACTTGTTATATATTTCTTCTTTATGGAATGCCAAATAGTGAAGGAACTCTAAATTTTATTCTTCAAAAGTGTAACTGCATGATTCGAGGGTGAACATCTTTTCTTGAGAGAAGTAATAGTATATTTTAATTTAGCGTTGTTAATTAATCGCTGGAATGTCACATTTAGATGGCAGATTTAATATTGTTTCCCAGGAAAATTCAATTCCTTTTGCGTTATAAATTTGCTTATTGTTTAAAATTATTTCATAATCAAAAATCAAAAATGGCTATTATTAACTTCTAAGCATATGCTTGCAAGCACCGAGGAGAGAATTACCTCAACCGAAAAAATTTCAAATTAACATATGAAGACATTATCCGTTGTCTATAGTTATCAGTAGATTATTTACCAAATGATCTAATTGGACCTATTTCAGGGTACGTTTCTTATCTGCCTTTCTTGAATGGGATTTATTTGTGTGGGAGCGTTTTTACCTGGCGCTCAGTGCTTTTCAGTAAAACGCACATAATAAAGTAATAAAGTAAAACGTACATAAAACAACATCAAGCACTTCTTATGATCTTCCTATGAATCAACCGTTTCGTTTTTCGGTTTCCGACAGTTTCCCGTTTCGTCGGTCGGAGCGGCTGTTGATTAATGGCTCGCTGTTGTTCTATTTAAGCTGCGGCTAGCTCGTGGCGACATTTATAGATATGAAATGGAAGCGCGACGATAGAGTTTCATGTTTCATCGAGGTCAGAACCCGTGTCTGTGTCATGGGAGTGAAAACCTTTACCATCGTCACAAAAGAGCTCTTCCATGATAATTTCAAGTAATTCAGTAATTTCAAATTTGCAAAAGCTGACTAGATCACGCGGACGCAGTGCGTCGTTGAAAATTGGGCACCAAATCCCATCGAGCGACCACAAAATTTCTCCAACAGGACTACGGATGCTTTCTATTACTACTATCGAGGAAATCGTTCTTGGACAATTTGCCATGAACCACGGTAAGGGATTCTATTTCGTTATTTTAAACTGTCATCTGCAGATATATGCAAGGGTACGTGAATTTTTGAGGTGTAATATGCAAAGTTTTCCGTCCGTTATTTTATGTACTCTTACGAAGGTCAAAAGGCTAACTCATATTGCATGCCAATCAGAATTTTATGTAATATACGCAAGTTCTGCTTATAACAGCTAGCTTATTACCAAATCATATGGTATTAAACAGACACGTATACTTTGAAGAACTTATGTTGTGATAATATTAACCGCTTCTTCAATATTAAAATCCATTTTTCTTACAATATATTTCAAACACTTTAAATCTGAGTTTTTTTTCAAGTTCACAAAACGCTATTAAAACTTGATATGATAGCAATACTTTAACATATAACAGAAAATGATGCTAATGAAATATGTGATTTTTTTCCTTACATAATCAACAAGCTCTTAGAATATCTTTCAAATAAAGAAAACGTTTCTCGTATCTATTATATCTATTCAAATACAGTGGAAGCTATCCTATTCAAACTGCTTTAAGAGTTATGGACTTTTTGTGTATTTGTGTTATAATAATCAGTAGATCAAGCTCGTGAGTGAGAGGTCTTAGTTTCGGTTCTCAGAGCTTGCTAAAATTGATCTCTACATTGATTTGGCCGACTTGTTCTAGCCGCAACCTCCTAGCCGCTTTTTAAAAAACGCGGCGCGAGGAATTAAA